TGGGAAGAGCATCCCTCGTTTTCTAGTTGGACTGCAAAATGTTGTTGAATATAGCCTCGCTAATAAGGTGCTTCATATTTAAATTAAACCAGTGGAAATGCTGGATTTTTTTTTCCTTGTGGTCAGGATGAGATATGTTTTGTACTAGCGCATCCTAGTTAATACATGGGACAGCCCTCAGAAAGGAAACTAAGATGAATACTTAACTGTGATTTTCTGAGAAACTACATATTCTATAGCTATGAATGACACTGCCAGTCACAGCCAAGACCCTCAAGCTGCTTAGCTCTGAGATAAGCAGGCCAGGCATCCTCATTCACCCGTCCCTTCTGTGTAGTATTGAGTTTCTGTGCTCAGTTTTGGCCTCCATATTTGTTCCCTTGAGCTCCTGTAACAGAGTACTCCCAACTAGGTATCTTAACAGAAATGTATTATCTCACAGTTCTGGAGGCCAGGTGCCTGAAATTGAGGTTTTGGCAGGGTTGGTGGCTCCTGAGAGCTGTGAGAGAGGCTTTGTTCTAAGCTCTCTCCCTAGCTTTCAGATGTATCTCTCCACATCATCTTTTCTCTTTGCATATCGCCTGTGTACAAATCTCCCCCTTTTTATAAGGTCACCAGTCATGTTGGATTAGGGCTCATCTAATGACTCTGCTTCACCTTAATTATCTCTATAAAGACCCTCTCTCCAAACGCTCTAAATAAGGTCACATTTTGAGGTACTAGACTTTAGGACACATGTGTCAAACACAAGGCCCGCGGGCCAAATCCGTCCCGCCAGGCCTTGCAATGTGGCCCGCACCGCGCTGTCATCACTGCACTCCGCTGCGTTTCCATCACAATGACAGTTTATGACTGTTCAGTAAACCATTCAGCCCGCGATTTAGGCTGGATTTTAGATTTTGGCCCCTTCTCTGATTGAGTTTGACACCCCTACTAGGATTTCATAAAAAGGAGGTGGGGGGGGAAGAGCAGTCTCTCTCCAGTAAAGATCTGATCATCCCTTCATCATATCTCTTTCCTAACTCTTCCCTTCCTCCTCTCCTCTCTCTCTCTCTCTCTTTCTCTCTCTCTCTCTCTCTCTCTCCCATTCCCTTCCCACGCCCCCCTCTCTCTTTCTCTCTTCCCTTCAGAATCCAGTTCCAGTGTGTGTAGAAATCCCCATTTTCTCTGTAAGCCTATGCCATTTTATCTAACACAACTAACCAAGAACTAAAAACACGTTCCCTAACATATAGCATTTTAGTTCCCTTGGTTACTTATTTCACAGATGTCGGAATCCCTCAGGCAGGAAGGGATGAGTTTCACTCTCAGCTGTGTCCCCCTTCCCTCAGGGCTGCCACGCATCTGTCCTGGACTCCACCATTTCTTGCTGAGACTGCACGTTGATCTCATTAATCCTCCTGCCTCTAGCCTCATCTCTGTCTAATCTATTCTCCACATTGCTTCCAGAGAGTCATTTTAAAACAAAATCCTATCAGGTCACATCCCCACTTATAGTCTGTCAGTGATTTACTCCTGCCATGAGGCAAAACCCAAACTTCTGCACACCACTCTTGTTATCATTTTCCCTAAGAGCATTCCCTAGCCTGGGGGCCATACAAGACCCACTCGTCCACCCAACTCTTCTTTAAGGCTCAGATCACTCCTACCCTCCTATGAAAACCTCATGTTCATCTCTCTCATTGCACTTCTTCCCCACAATTTTAACACATTCTTAGCTCCTAACGATCAAGATTTGTACCTTTCACTCTGTTTTCTCTGCAACATGTAGCGCAATACGTAGAACACGAGAGACAACTCAATAAATGCACTTTGAGTGGATGAGGAACTACGGGGTGATTACCTACCCAGTTCCACTTGAGTGCCTTTAAAAGACTCAGATGCATCAAGAGGTGTCTCTGCATCCAAAAGTCCTACTTTCAGTCAATAAAGGACTTAGTAACAAAGGAAAACATCCATAACTCCCTGAGAAGTCAGTAATTCCCTAATAGGTCAGTAACTTCCCTGAGTTCGTCAGCTTGGTTAGTTGGCCCTCAGAATACAAGGAAAAACTAAGGAAGAGGCCTAGCAGAGTGAGAGACTTGGAAGTAACTGGATCCATGCAAAACCTAAGCTACAGGTTAATGGAATCAAAGAGGAAGATGACACAACTTGCGTTCCCATCAGCCAGAAGACAGTTATGCCAACGCTCTCTTCACCCTGCTGTGGTTCTCATGGAGGCAAAGTCTATGGATTTCCAGATAAGGTTCCAGAAACTGCTCTGACTTATATTCATCCCTATTCCTAACATTAAAAAGAAAATTTCTTCCATTCTAATACTGGATTCTCTCACCCCTTGAATTCTTAGTCACAACCCAAAGGTTACTCTAGGCACTATGGGCCAGTCTCATTTCAACATCTGAAAAAGCCACTGGACTGTGACCAATAATTATGAATTAAGCCTGGGTCAGATGAGCAAACTGACTTCTTTTATACTGAATCTAGATGACTGAACACAATTGAGGAAAATAATATTCATGCAAATCATTCTTATCCCACTCAGTTACTGTGGGATTTGTATTCTCCAAATGTGGCTACAAGAACATATTCTTATAATATAACTTTATTTTTAATATATTATTTTATTGATTTCAGAGAGGAAGGGAGAGGGAGAAAGTAAAATATCAATGAGAGAGAATCATTGATCAACTGCAATCCCTCTACTGGGGATTGAGCCCGCAACCAAGGCATGTGCCCTGATTGGGAGTCGAACTGTGACCTCCTGGTTCATTGGTGGGCATTCAATCACTGAGCGACACAGGCCATGCTCTTATGATGTAACTTTAGTAACACATTTCCTTAAAGGGTTGGGGAAGATTAAATTTTCTCCACTTAAATAAAGGCAGCCTCTTTACTATAATGAAATTTATGTCTTCTGAGGCTAAGTCATAAAATGTAGTACCTAAAGCTCTGCCTCATTCTCTAAGGATGCTTGCTCTTAGAATCCCATCACATACCAGGAGGAAGTCCAAGTAGGCCATGTCAGCCATATGAATAAGGACTGACCTTGTGACTGGAAGCTCCTGACCCCAGCAACGTTGCCGCAGTTGCTCTCACTTGGAACAGAAAGAAGTTACCCGTGCCGGGCCCTATCCAAACTGCAGATTTATAAAAAAAATAAATGACTGTTGTTTTAACTCACTAAGTGTTGAGGTAGCTTATTATGGAGCAATCAATAATAAGAACATATTGCAGTACTTAGAAATGGGGTGCTTCTATATCAAAATGTGGATGGCATTCACTTGGTGATTGGGGAGCAGGACAAACTGGAAGGACCTCCCAGTGAGTAACTGTGAAAAGCTAACTGGCCTTTGGGAGAGGATTCATAGACGCCCAAAGCACTCCAAGGAAACTGTTGGTAAAGCTCAAAGGACAGAAAATGCAATTGGAAGCTCAAGACAAGGATTCATGCGTCATGTCATAGTAGAAAGTTTGGCAACATTGACATCTGCGGTAGCATGGAAAATAGCAACTGAACCGAATGAACTCTGTGATCTAGCTAAGGAGATTTCCAGGCAGAATATTTAAAGCAGAACTTAGCTTCTTCTGGCTTCCTGTGATAAAATTCAGAGAACTGCAGAGTGGCCTGCTAAATTCAAAGGAGCCAGGAATTTCTGGGTATAAAAACAAAATTGGCTTCTGATTTCCAGCAGCTCCACATGGCAAAGTAATAATAAATAATTAATAATAATAATAATAATAATAATATCTCAAATTAAGAAGGCCAATGATCAAATCTGAATGGGACTACAAAATTATTCCTTAACACCTAAGCAAGATCTCAGGAAGAGCCACACAGAAACTTTAGGCCAAACAGAAAGGCCCTTTAAGGACTATTAAGGGCATACTTCATAGATCCTCTCGGTTCAATAATAGGACTTCTGAAAATCTCAAGGTCATTGTCTCACAGAAGTCACCCAATATTCAGAAGAACTTATCTGGAATATAAGCTTTTGTCTAATGGGGTGTAATATAAATTGAAACACAAAATGTCTACGACGTTTTAAAAGAAATTATATCAGCTTGACCTGGAAGGAACAGAGATAGTACACAATGAAAAGAGCTCTTTTGACAGCTCAAATTTTATTTTTTTTTTAATATATTTCTTTTTTTTTAATATATATATTTTATTGATTTTGTACAGAGAGGAAGGGAGAGAGATAGAGAGTTAGAAACATCGATGAGAGAGAGTCATCGATCAGCTGCCTCTTGCACACCCCCTACTGGGGATATGCCCACAACCAAGGTACATGCCCTTGACCGGAATCGAACCCGGGCCCTTCAGTCCCCAAGCCGATGCTCTATCCATTGAGCCAAACCGGTCTCGGCGACAGCTCAAATTTTAAAGGCAAGAAACTGGAGAGAAAGACACTCCGCTATAAATATGGGTTGCTTTTTATGGAAAAGGAAGAATGACTCAGAGGCTGGAACCTAGAGTCCCAGAGAACAATTTCTATGCATAGGATTGACCCTTAATCAAGGAACTGTGTCTGATTAGCTTTATAATAGCCACAGGCTGTGACTGCTGTGGGCCGTTTTCCCTGTCTCTGAATATGAAGGTCAATTGTGGCCTTCCTATACTTGCTCCACTATCATAAATGAGGTGTGTGGGAGAGGAGACTGATAAATTGTCTCTTTAGTTCACAGGTCATCACTGCCGAGAGCAAAAGTAATCAAGGACCTGTATGGTAAGAACAGTCCCACAGAGTGTCAAGCACCTAGGCAGTGTCATTCCCATGAGACCTCCTGCCAGGAAGTTAAGAGACCAGAACTTACTTCAAAATGCAAACAAAACAAAACAGAACAAAACAAAACAAAACAAAACAAAACAAAAAAGAAACAGATTATCATGATTCTACTGGGGAATTTCCATGTTGAAAATATTATGGGAAATCAAAATCTGAATGACACATCCTCACATACACAAGCACGCAGATGGAACTGTGAGTAAGACACATTACCAGTTCTTGGGGAAGGGGCTCTTGCAATTTCTAAAGAGCAGGGTTTCTTTGTAACCGCTGTGTCCGTGAGATCACAGAGAAAGTTCTCGTTTTCTGAAGGAAACGTATCCAGAGAAGCAGATGGTACAATTTCCATAGTGTAATTCCTCTTCTTTGGATAGGATTCCTGAAAGGAAGGAGAAAACATAAAAATAGCTTTGTGATAAAGACACAGCCTGTTTAATGTACAAAGCTAGGAAAGATAATCAGGCTCATCAGTTCTCCCACAAGTGATTGACAGGGGATGATTCATCTGTTTGAATAAGTTATGCCATCATGTTACTCCGGTATTATCAGCCATCATTATAGAAGGGTCTTTGCAATTTGGTTCCCCTGAATTTATGACTGAACTAGTCGAGTTCAGAATCTCTTGTGATGAAATCTCTTTGTAATATATGTCTATTTTCTAGCTGTGGTCTAAACTGTTGTTTTAATGAACAGTCCTTCCCAAGACTCTACTCCTTTGCCTGCTTCCTCGAGACAGGCATGAGACTCCGCTTTGGTCAGCTGGATACAAGGGGAAGTTTGCTGGAAGGGTTCTGAAAAACGATCTTCCCCAGAGAAAAGAAATGCAAGGAGGCCACTTCAGAGCCTCAGCCCTCAGGTTCCTCTGTCTGAATGCAGTTTTGATGCCTGGTGCTAGGGCAGGGACATTGTAACCATAAGGCAATAAGCCCAAAGTCAAAAAGGTAACAGGTCAAGGGCAGCAACAGAAGGATAAAAAGAGCTTGGGACCTTAGTGACATCATTGAGCTGCTCAAGTAGCCCTGGAGCCCAGTTCCCCAGGCTTCTGAAGCTCCTCATACTTGAGCCATTGCAATTTGGGTTTTCTGCCCTTTCGAGGTAAAAGTATTCCCACCTAACACACTAGTATTTTTCCTCACTAATATACAAAAATCACTCATTGCAAGTTAGAATAAATTTAAGGTCCAATTCTATATTACTGTTTCTTCACTATATTCTAAAATTTAGAATTTATTTCATTTCACAAGATCTTAGTTTCTTGGATAGGCATTAACTGAGCAACAAATATTTATTGGGTATCATCACATAGAGCTAGGATTATGCTCTTCACTGAAGATTTTTTTTATAACTAATAAGAAATAATCCTTGCCCTCAGAAAGGTCAAAATTTACTAGAGGAAAATAAAACCAGATTATCTGCATTGTGAGTTTAACAATTAACCATGTTTTGTTTTTTGATAACCTTTATAGAGTAATAATTTACTACCAATAGAAAAAAACAAATAAGAAAAATACAAACTAATTTCAAAAAAAAATTTCCAAGACATATCCAAGGGTTGGTAAAGATGTAGCACCAGCTCCTATTTCCCCCCCCCCCCCCTGTAATATTTACAGTACAGAGAGTAAGTAGTCAAGGTCACTGCAATTGCTTTCGGACCATACCAGACCCTCACACATCAAAGAGTCAATTATGTTCACTCTACTCTATTGAAAGCAGGAAATTGGGAGTAATTTATTTTTAACAACAAAGGGTGACAAAACAGAGAGCGTCCGGAGGAAAGCAATCAGGGTGGCATATGATTTAAAAACCATGTCAAAGAAGATATGATGAAAGAGCTGCAGCGTTCCAAGCTGGAGGAGCTGACAGCAGGGCGACAGTGCTCTTAGCACGTCTAAAAGGCTGCCCCTCAAGAACTGTCCCACACAGTGGGGAAGGGGACAGGCTGCTGTGGTAGATTTATTCTAACATTCTTAAAGGCAGAATAGCCTGGCTGGTGTGGCTCAGTGGTTGAGAGTCGACCAATGAACCAGGAGGTCAGAGTTCGATTCCAAATCAGGGCACACACCTGGATTATAGGCTTGATCCCCAGTAGGGGGCAGGCAGCCACAAGATGATTCTCTCTCTTCATTGATGTTTCTATCTCTCTCTCTCTCCCTCCCCTTCGTCTCTCTGAATAAAAACTTTTTTTTTTTTTAAGACAGAACAATATTGGATATTTACAAGTCAAGGAGGGCAAATTTAGGTGACTACAAAAAGGAATTTTCTATGAGTTGATAATATTGCTTATCTTTTGGTTAAGTTGGAATGCTGTGTTTACTAGGATAAAGAATTATGAGCACTTTAAAGGCCTTGAAAAATACTCTGAAATCTAACCAAGTGGAATGAGTTAATTTGCTTTCCTCTCAAAGAGAAAAGACATACGCATATTAGAGAAATATTCAAAACTATGAAGAAGGGGAAAAAATCACATTGAACCCAGCATGCTCAAATAATTAACAGTAACATTTTGATGGTGATGCATTCCGACTGCTTCCCTCTGTAAAGTGTGTGTAAACATGTGGCTGCTTGCAAAAGAGAAAACAAATATTTTAAACAATAACAAAGTGCTTCCTAAGGAAGGACCATCATTTCTCAGTGGAATAAATGATTTCTTTGTGGAAAGTGAGAACCCTAAGGAAGGAGATGGCAAAACAAGAAGAGGGAAAATTATGCTTTTGTAATCATATTGTCAGGAAAGAAGGGCATTCAACAAAATACCTGACAAGTATCTCCCAACAGAGGATGGGTATGTGAGATGATTAAAATTGCATGTGGCGACTACTCCGTTTAAACGATAGAATATTACCATCGGGAACTCTCCCTCTTCCCCCATTTTCATCCCACCCAACCCTCCCCAACCAATGCTAAATCCTGTTCTGAACTTTGTAATGCCCTGAATTGTTGTTAAAACTTAAACTTGGATTTTGACTTACAGGTTAAGTGCCCATGTACTCTTGATGGTAAATCCTGGTCACAGACCAGAGGAATTAAAAGAACTGGCTCAACAATTTGTGACTCTCCTTCAAGGCTCCATTGTACCTCACTAGCAAAAGTGGGCTATAATCTAGAGAGCAGTTTGCTTTCTCCTTGGTAGTTAGACTCCATCTTTATTCTAATGCCCAGTTCCAGGATCCCAAATGTGTTTCTGGGCTTGCTTTGTTTTAATAGCAGCATGCCTAAGACTGTGTTCTCTGACTGGTATTTGCCAGCCCTCTTCTGAGGGACAAAGAATCCTTTCCCTTAATCCTAACCAGGTCCCTAATGCCCTGAATTCCTAACTTCACAGCTCCATGTCTGAGTGTGAATCTATAATGCCTAGACTTACTTAGTTGGCTTCATCCTACCTGCTACAGTTGATTGCATAATGTGCGGATCAAATAGTACTTCTTCAAAAAGACACATACTGAAAACACTGAGTGAACATGTTCTCCCAAGAAAAAAAGTGAACAACTAGCCTTTAAAGGTCTACAGAGTATGTTTTCATAGGTTGTTTAAACTGTGTTCCTATAAAAGTTTAAAATCATCAGTGGTAGACCAAATCAAAGTTTCTTAGTGACTAAAATAAGGTCATATTATCCGGTACAGAAATGAGTTACAAAAATTCAGAAATGAGTTATAAAAATTCAATTGTTCTCTAAGGGGGTATAAATATAGATTAGCAATACCATGGAAAAAACTTAGTAGTTATAATTTACAGAATGAGTCAGAGTGTAATATACCAGTTAAAGACATAATATGTCATTGGCTGATTTAATACAAATATGATATTTGGACTAGAGAAAGTGGCAACCCTCCCTTCCTCTGTGCTAATTAGAATCGGGAATGATGTGAGTTAGTAATTTCATAAAAGATAGATTAGCAGTATTATATTGGCCCTCTGACTTATGAAAAACCTTGGCAACAACCAGGGTCCCAGGTATGGATGCAGCTGTTTCTCAAACGTACCAATGGTGCAGCTTTTATCACAAATAAGGTGACTTGGTGGCTTTTCTAGATGACTTTGACAAGGCATCTCCAAGAACTTGCCTCTAAAGCAGCTCTATTCTTAACCACATGGAGGAAACTGAAACTGCTAAACCTACACAGCAGGAAGATCACACCTGAGCACTCAGCTGGCAGGTACTGGGGCCCACATTTCAGGAGGTGCAAAGACCAAATGCACTATTTCCGCTGGACGTGGATAAGGAAAGTGTTGAGTGTCAAACCCATGTCATGTGAGAAAAGATTGCAGAAAGGGTGCACGGATACATGTATCACAAGTACTTGAAAAGCAGAAGGGTGATGCTAATTGTTCTCTAAAGGGGTTTAAATGTGCAAGTGGAGAGATGGTAACAAGAAGACGATTTCAACTCAAGATGAGCTTTCTAAAAATTAGAGTTTCCAGGTGCCAAACTGGCTGCTTAGCAGAGAGCAAGTTCCCTGTCCCTGGAAGTCTTCAAACTCAATGTGATCAACACAAGACATCTTCTGAGAACAGAAGATGGTGGTTTGACTGAAATGAGCTTAAGATGGTAATTAAATGAGAAGATGGAAGTATGTGTCAGCATAAGCTAAAAGCTACCTGCATATTTTTGCTGCTTCCTGAATTCTTTTTCTGATAATGAGAAAAGTAATACCAGCACAAGGAAGTATGGGTTGATGACTCTCTCAAAGTTAGTGATGACTCACAATTTCAAGTGACTCAAAACAGGTGAAAGCTTTTGGAAGTGGTCTAAATGCTCTGACATATCCTTCAATATCAAGAAATTATACCCTGAAGACTTACAATGACATTTAAATAGGAAGATTATTCTATAAATGTGAAATACTAAGAAAAATAAGGAAATTATAAGGAGAGTCTTTAAGTGGGTGGGAAGAGATCATCCTGGATTATCCACTTATAAGTGAAGGAGAAAAGGAGAGTCAGTGTCAGAGTGATAAGGCATGAGAGACTTGACTGGCCATGGCTGGCTTTGAGGATGGAAGGAGTACAGCTCACAGAAGCTAGAAAAGGCAAGAAAATTAATTATTCCCGAGTCTCCAGGAAAAAATGCGGCCCCACAAACAGCCCTATACACACCATGAATTTAGCTTAGTGGGACCCATCCTGTACTTCTATAACTAAAAATTAATAAAGTTATGTTTTTTTAAAACCACTAAGTGTGTCGTAATTAGTTACTGCAGCAATAGAAAACTGACAGGGTAATACCAGAAGAAGGTACCACTTAGGGAGGCAACAGAAACTACTTAAAGGCTGAGTGGGGGACATGAAAATTGGAGTCCAATGGAAAATTTGTTATATTATGATATGATTCAATATTTTTTTAAATAGTGATTTTTTTCACTCTTACTTAGTTTTAAATA